TTATTCTTATTTTTTATTCTTATTTTTTATTTTATCTTATTTTTATTTTAATTATATCTTATTATTCTTATTTTACTTGAATCAATTATTTGTTTCTGATCCTTTTTGCTTCTTATTCTAATAAAATTCATTTTGGTGTTCGTTTACGCAGTACTGTAAGCAGAGCATCCAAAGCAGGACTTCCGAGATAGCTGCACAGAGATACATCTGTGGCGTTTGATGGAGGAGAGCGTTGTCCACGATGTGATGAATTTGATGACGGAAAAAAGATGTTGGCCGCGGTGGGATTCGAACCTAGGTTCTCAGGTGTCTAAGACTTGGCGCGCTACCACTGCGCCATGCGGGCCATGGTGCTTTTTCATGTTTTTGCTAGGTATTAGTTGTACGGGGGACCGCCACATATCCCTGTATAAACGAACGACGAACTGCGCTGTAATCCGCTGCAGTCACTTTCGCAGACGGAGTAAATGAACGACATCTGCGGTAGTGACTACATAAACGAATGCACCCATAGATAATGTGCGTACATATAAGCCAGCGGCAGTCGATGCTTTTTTTTCTTGTTGGTTTGCTAGCTGGATTCGCGTGTTTACTAAGTTCTTGTCTTTCATTGGTATATTCTCTTAGATCTAAAGAAATATATCAAAGACAAGAGCTCAGGGCTGGAATTCTGTACATGTCCACTGACAATTCTCGGTGTCGTTAACTAATTCCGCTGTGGATTTCCGCGCCATGGGACATCAGTCTTAGAAAGCGCACGAAAGTAAAACGAAACGATAGCCGCAGTACACTTCCATTACATCATAGCATGGACACTCGGAGTGAATAAAGGAACGCACTCCCAGCAGCCAAAAAAAGTATCGCGTGCCACTCGCTTTAATTTCTTCAAATTTAAGTAATATTTTATCATATTTTCTGTTTAACAAATAAAATATCAATACGAATATGATAAACACAATGAAATATGTATTATTAATTAATCATATAAATTTATAACATATTTATTTAATACTGAATATTAATACATTTAGGTTAATTGTGTCTGCAATATTAATTAAAATACATGGCCAATTAAAAATATTTATTTTCAATTAAAATCTGATATTCTGATATTTTTTTTATTATTTTAGTGTCACAATTAATAATTGGAAATAAATTATAGTAATAACAAAAATGGCACTTAATAAGCAAGATTATAATATAAATGAGGAAAAAGATTTGCAAGTGAGTCAATGGTACGGAATAAGAGAAGCTACATTGTTTCTCGTTGACACTACACAAAAGATGTTCGAAATAGAGTCAGAAGCCAAGTTCAGTCATATTGAAAAGTTTTTCAAAGTTAGTTATATATTATTTTGATGGAGTTATATATAAACAATTGATTGTCATTATTTTTTCAGCTGTACAAACAAATTCTTCGGCAAAAACTAGCATGGAACATGCAAGATTGGATGGGTGTGATATTATTTGGTACTGAAGAAAGTGATGCAAATTTATTATGGAAAAATATTCAAACTTTACACGAACTTGGAGTTGTCACTTTGGATGACTTACAACAAATTAGAAAGTTAAGTGAGTATAATTGATATTATATGCTCAAAGAATATAAATACAATATTCGATGAATTTTTGATAATTTTTCAGCTAAAAATGGTATAAAAGATTATCAAAGTATGAAATCTGAGAATGCTTATCCACTTCACGATGCATTGACATATACTATAGATATCTTCTTGAAGATAAAAACAGTCTTCACCAAACGTAGGGTAGTCTTGATTACTTGTCATACACCTAAACTTACGGACAATGAAAGACATCGCATTAGATTGAAGGCGGCATCTTTAAAGGATTTGGATATCAAACTGCATGTAATCGGTTTAGGAAAAAATTGGATGCATAATCAGTTCTACAAAGATTTAGAGATGCTATCAAGGAAAGATATAGATATTTACAAAACGACATCATTAGTAGACTTAGTGCAGCAAATTAAAGCACCATCCAAGAATATTGCGCGCTTATGCTTCAAGATATGTGAATTAGAGATTGATATGATTGTGCGTACTCTGGGCAGGTAAATCTTTATTAAGAATAATATTAATTTTTGCATACCGTTATACAATTTTACAAGTAAGAATGCAATGTTTTACAGGAAACGTAGATGCTTGCAAACAAAACCATTAAGCAAAGCGACCAATCAAGTTTTATCAAGATCCAAGTATTTCAAGAGTGAAGATTTTAATAACGAGGTGCATGTTTCTTGTGTAACATAATTGAAAATTTGCATTTAAACTACATATGAATGTTTTGAATCTTTAATTTTTTTATGCCTAATTTATTTATAGGAGAATAGTGATAACGAGGAATTTGATTTACCTTATATAATACCAGAAAAAGTTAACTGGGAAACTAAAGAGCTAATTGGTCACCAAAAGTTACGTTTCACGCAAGAAGAGCTCTTTCGGATAAAAAATATACATCCACCAGCCATCAAGGTAATTGGTATCAAATCTATACCTGGTGATCTCTTCAGGTACCACATTAAACGGAAATATTTTGTCAGAATTGACTATGACAGTACTCGTAAAGGTAATAAGCATAAAGTATAAAGATTTAACACATGAGATATAGCACATTTCAATTTATAATATTATATCAATTATATTTATTACATTTATATTGTATTTATTACAAAATAACATAATGTAAATATAATTATTTTTTGTTATAGACAATTTGTTGTTCTTTGGCGCTTTATTAAATAAATGTGTAATTGAAGGAAAAATGATAGTATGCGCATTTACAATGAGGGCGAATACGCAAACTAATCTCTGCTACATGATTCCAAATTCTGAGCTGGGTGGTTTTTATCTATCAAAAATCGCATATCAAGGTATATTTTATTGTTTCATATGATAAAAGAAAGAAATTTAAGATATTCCTCAAATGATTCCCTTTAATTTTATAATTTAGGAAACGTAGGAGACAAAAGCGAAGTCTTACAACATTATGATACGCAAAGTTTTGTAACTGATGAAGAAGTCGAGCTATGGAAGAAGATAATCAATCGGCTTGACATGAACTTCCATCCATATATGTTCAGATCTTATAAATTGGAGTGTCAAGTACAAATAGTGGAGAAGTTAGCTTTGGACAAGGAACCCGGCCCTCCCCCAATTGATTCCATTGAGCAATCATGTGAGTAATATTTACAATATTACAGTAAACCTATTAAAAATGAATATATGGAGAAAGCTAAAAAGTTTATCTTTAAGAATAAATAAAGAGAAAGTACATTGATATTGAATTTTACAAATTGTATTAATTTTCAGTTATGAAGACATACAAAAAAACAATTGACTTAATGCCTGAATTTAAGAATATATTTTTCAATATGAGCCCATCTGATGGTCCAACAAGAGCAAAAAGAGCTAAAAAAACTAAGAAGGAAACGTAATTATTACATACAGAATGTAACATAATTAGTAATGAAAATATTTTTGATAATGTATAAAAATTGCATTTTGCTTTTCAAATATTACTTTATGTATATAATCAAGAAATTTTTAAGAGACAGATAAACCTTGCTTCTTAAGCACATAAAGAATATCATTGATCTTAAATATAACCATATTTTATATATAATAAAAGTACATTTATATCTGTGAAATAAATTAAAATTTTTTAAACCTTTTTTATACTTTGATATCTCTAACTATTGCATTATTTTACTGTCATCAGTCTTGAATTAGGATATTGGTGTTTAACAGATATTGAAGGAATCAGTTTGGGAATTTGATTATTGAATAGTAGATTATTAATTAATATTAATTTCATTTGGTAATATTTAATTGTTATTTAAATTTATTAAAATATCCTTACTGTGTTTTAATGGAATAATTCTAATAGATATAAAAGGATAAAAATTATACTCTGCATCTAAATGTTTATTCTAGTAATTTAAATGCATACAAATATGTAACTTCTTTTATACATGTATATAAAAATATATTTTCAAATATATTTCTATTACATTTACAATAATTCTGATTAGGCCATAACAAACTAAGGCAAATTCCTGTAACTCACATGAGATTCAATTCTTCTCTTGTATATCTTGTATATCTTAAAAATGTTATCAGAAAAGTATTTCTAACAGCAAATGTTAAGATAAAAATTTAATTTTTTATATGCTCAACAATTTTATATATATGTATCATAAATTTAAATAGGAAATTCCTTAGATGTTACAAATAATGTATCAATATGGTTACAAGGAAGTAAATATGAGGTTCTTCCTTACATTTCTTCATTTTCATTTCAAGCATGCAGACTTAAAGTAAAATGCAGGTACTTTTCTCACGAAAGGGATTGGACTTCTGTGATGAGAAGCCTACCAACAGACAATCCTCCTGCTCATGCTCGGTGATGTATTTTATGATGTCCTCAACGGCTTTGCTCACCGTAATTCGTTTCAAGGCGGCCTCGCGACGCAATTGCTCTGTCACTTGACGCTGCTGTTGCAAGTTTGTAATAACCATGTCCATAACAGCCTGCGTGCGTGATAGATAAATTAGAAAATATCAAACTAGACTTCCTCAAGGTAAGATAAAATACATCAAAGAGAAAAGAACACTTTGCGAAAGTTTAAAGGCTAACCTGGAACCTGATTGTATGATGTTCGAATTATGCTTTTGTGTTACTCTCAACAACTTAAATCCTTTCCGCAAGAAATACTTCGATAACTTTATCCTCGTTTTCGTAATTTATTTCTAAACTCTTAATTCTCACGAGTCATTTTATCCTTCCTGTGCCAATCCCTCAAGACACGTTCGCACGTGATCGCTCTTAAGGCCATATCAGACTAGCGGTTGCGCGGCTACGATTGCTGGTTGACGATTCTATTTCAGCTAATCACAATGTAGCAGGTCCTGGTTATGGTCAATGTGATTGGTAATCGTAAAATCATCAACTGGCAACCGTAGTTGGACAACCGTTAGTCTGATATAGCCTTTAGGGTTATTTTCATCAATTTGGGCTGCGTTCCGATATTCACTATCAGTAGAGGCACTAGAATCAGAGACTGGCCATAACTTTGATCTGCCAATCAGAGAATCGGAGATCTCTGATCCGCCATGTTTTGGCTAAATCCTACGAGAAAGAAAGAAATATATACCATCTCACTCTAATCTCAATAGCGGTATTTTTTACTTTGCATGTGCATTGATTAAATGTATTGTGCATGTGTATTAAACACATGGAAAGCATGATAATATATTATTAAATAATAGAGATACTAAAATTGCAAAATATAGTTATAAATTAATTAATTGTGATCAATATAAAAAATGGTGTACCCCGGATGGGCTACAACGATAATATTAGAGATAGTCGGATTCGTTAAGCCTAAGGAGACTCCGAGCAGGATCAAAAGAATAGAAGGAAATCTTCTTGAATTCACTAACACACTTTCTTTATTTTAATTGATTTATTTAATAAATGCACAAATTCTTGAGTTTAGTATTTCTTATTTTATTACTTTACACGGTTAAACGTCGGCGGGCGGCTCGGTGCGTATCGCGTTACTCTGGCGGCCGACGACCGAGTATGTCATCTGAGACGCTGATAGTACGGCTCGCGTGAACTTCACCGCGCTTTTGTAATATCTTGCGCGATAATTATAATAATGATTCCGAACGACACGTTATTCTTGACTTTTGATTCTTCTGACTCCGCCTTGTGTAACCGGTTATATAGTCTGATCGATGCCCGATCAGCATTCTGATCGATTGCGTCGTCGGTTGCGTGATATTGATTAATCAATATTACGCTCGGTTTGATCATCAAATTTAGGAATTTGCTGATAGGCTTTTTCGCAATGTTCTCGCGTGATGCATTTCTGCGATCTTTCGAAAGACTGGTCGCAATTTCGGCGGTTACACATTTGTGTCGTCTTTCGAAAGACTTTTCGAGATTCATGCGACCTAATTTTGTTGCCATGCGGACTACTTTTATTATTGGTTGTTATTTTTATTATTGGTTGTAGATCTGGCTACAACAACACCCTTTACTTTGGTATGGATCAAATTTAATATACTGTTTCCATCGGAAGTAAAAATTTGTGGATCGAAGCGGAATTGAAATGAGCGCCATTTGTTGCGTCTCCATCAACTCAAATCTGGTTTTACATAAACATTTATACTATACACTAAACCGCTAACTCCTCTATTTATTGAGCCTGAAAGTTGACCCCAAAACTTAGGCTGGTTCCCCATGCATCGTAACTTACGTAAGCGTAAACTCATCCAACCAAATTGTCTCAGCTACTCTACACAAATCCGTCTAGACTTTTATCAGACGATTTGATTGGTTGATGCAGTTTACAATTACGCTGCATGAGGAACCACCCTTATGGATTACATAATGTGACGTAAGGGAGACAAATGA